TAGAAGATGGATAACGGGCGTAGAGCCCGTAGTAGTTTGGGTTAGTACGAAATAATACATTTAAACAATGTATATATAGAGCATCCAGTACGTTGTGTAGCCAGCCTGTAATATAAATAGACAAATACGAATATCAGGGACAACGTTATCTGGTTTTTGGGCTATTCAAGACCTGACTTATCATATTTTGTATAGCAACAAGTGAGGTCACTGGTGCTTGCAAATTGATAATAGTGTATCTTGTGTGCGAAATTCGAAGGGCAGAAACACTTCCGTTATTAATGGTCAAGTCCGATGAATTCATTCCTGACAAATGTATAGATACGCAGTCCTGAAAAAATGTATTTACTCCTCTTAGTCCTAAATCTCTAGGACAGGATCAATAGGTATGAAAGATATGTTTTGAAAACCACCAATTAAGCCAAGGCGAACATTAAGGCTTCGGTATTGGTATACCGTAAGGTTAAGCTCAATTTAGAACTACTCGAAGTAACTCCGAAATTTCCTATGGAAAGTAGACTACATACGCTCGTGTTGCCTTTAACTGTGAACCTATTCCGCAAGAAGGGCACGTGAGAAAATCGTTAGTAATCTATGCGTTTTCTAGATACGTCCTGATGCTTCAGAACGCCAAAATAGAACCGTAGCCATCGGTTTCAAATACAAACTGGGTCAGTGTTTATAATATTTTCTTTTATGGTTTCTTTTCCTTAGTTGGTCGACGACTTACTCAGGTCTGATTCAGCGAGTCGATCTGGGTATGGGAATTTCATCAAAGTAGCAGGCATCTCGTCACGACCTCTTGGACTATCGAGGCTTGTTATCACTCCGTTTCATCGACCGGAAGTAACTGCATATCTACATTTAAAGTAATCAATTTGCTATTATACGGAAAAAAAGTATATTTAATACTGAAGCTAACTGAAATTTTTTCTGATTTCGTAAGTTATTATAGTTGGGTACACGAGCCAGATAGCTTTATGTGCAGTCTAATGAAGACGATTGTAAAAACTAAGCAGCTACAATACGTGGATAATTAGTGAAAATACATATTTATAGTTAATTATAGTCATTTAACACTAAGGTCGACTTAAAATTATAACTTGAAAAGTAACCAGAATTATTTTGGTATTAGATGTTAATAATTATGGTTAGGTCTTTTGCCGGACGTGGTTGATCCTTATTTATCTATGTTTATATAGGAGTATTCGGAAACGTAGAGCACAATACAGAGCTTCTTCTAATTACTTATTGATTTTAGGTCGAATATAGAAACGCTGATGCCTGGTCATTCTTTAAGAACAATTCTGGTCTCTCCCGGTAGAAAATCATATGAAGGAGCTGATCACGATACGGTAAGCCCTGCCGATATGAACTTTACTTCTATATAAATAGCACTCATTGATTAATTTTCAAAGCATTACAAATACAAGGTCGTGTGTGAAGGTGAGGTTGTGTGTGAAGAAACTACAGGCATATGGATTGACAGAACGTATCGAAACAAAAAAATTTACATTTATAAAAATACGAAAAATCTACATTTATAAAAAAAAAAATAGTAATGAGTAGTACTGTACAGAGGGCGGCCATGCGAAATAAAATGAAAAGTTTTTCAGGTAAACCTTGTTGCTGATAACGAGCATGTTTCTCAGTCAAGCAACCGTTGTACCGGCCGTCAATTGTTCAGTCGCGCTTTTGAACGACGAGGGGAATAAGTGACCTATTTCACGACACGGGACGATGCTGTAAAAAATAATGAATCTACGCGTTCTAACATTTTTTTGCTAGATTTGATAGAAAAAATCTAAAAATACATATATTAAGGTCAAGGTTTTCATACACTGAGCTAACGTTTATCGTTTATTTAGGCATAAATCAAGTTTAATAACGCCAAATTTTTTCTTGTCAATTTAGACGATGCAGGCTTGACTGTTTCATATCGTAGTCATGGACAACGTGACTAATAATAGAGAAACTGAAATCGGAAATTTCACTGCTACGTCCATATCCAGGCCAAAGATATTTGTATTAGGGTTCCACAAACCTTGGCGATAGGCGATTGAAAATTGAAAATCTACTGCTGGTAATTGAAGATAAAACTGCTATAAAGTATAAATTATTATAACATTTTTATATTCTCCGAACTACTGGAAAATAGGATACTTTCGATGAAACTCTGTATATTCTACCATATTACATACGTGCTAAGGTAAAACGTTTTCTTGGTTTTATTTTTTTTATGTACCCGCTCGACTCGAACAGCTCTTTTGTGGGGATGTAGCAATTGAACCACGTCCGGAAGCAAAGATAGGAACAGGTAGACATCCTAATGGGGGTGAATTAGTCAATATATATACGTGTACTCACGGACACCATGCACGAGGTAACAGCCAAGTTTACAACACGAAAATAAAATTTATATACTAAATATGGCTCATGACCGAATTTAAATGAACGCAAATATAACTTGTCGGAGAAACTAGGGTGTGCGATATATTATTTTTACTATTTCTCAATATGATTTTCTTATTTAGAACATGAACCCTTTTTTGCTCTGCGTCTACCTTTCTGGGGACCTCGGTAGATAAGAAGCCAATCTACATACACAACCTTCCAACCAGGAGGGCGATGACTGGCGGTTTGGTATATAAAGTTGGCAAAAATCGGAGCGATTTCCATTCATATTTGGTGAGTACGTCAGTGTAAGTTGAAAAAAAAGGGTGGGTGCAGCAGGTGAGCGGCCATACGGGACAAGGGCTACCTAAACAAGTCCATTGCTGACAAGCCGAAACGTTACTTATTACATAACCACCTCGAGCGCTGTATATAGGCCGTTACACTTTGAACATGTCGTTGGGGTTACTTTTATCGAACGTAGCCTCATGCTACCAAGCTTAGCTCAATAGCAATGCGTATATGTAGATGTATCAAGTTAAACTAGGATCACGACTACAGATCAGAACTTACTGTAGACAATTATATCCAGAAGCATAGTTAGACGCTTTCAAGTTAGCTTCGAAAAACGCTGCGATTGAATTTTTTTTTCGAATAAAAAGAAACTCATGGAGGTGCCAGTGTAGGAATTAATCAAAACTTAATTTCATACTGCTAGATCATTCAGTGATTTGTCTCACTTGGCAGTAGGAGATCATAAAGTATTGATTTTCATAGCCATCGTTGTAGCATTTTCATGTTAGTTCAGAAGATATCATATTAGTTATGAGTTTTTCGCGCGAAGTCACTAGCGTCCCCCTAATAGCCCCACCTCCGGCCCATATAACGCAAGCTTGTGGGACTATAAGGGTCGACAATAGCAGTGTCTTCAATTAATATTCTCTCGAAAACGAATGAGTTATAGGTGAAACCACAAAATAGAAAAATCTTTGACTGGTAGAAATTTTTTTTCTCGCTCATGGCACCAACGATAGCGTCGAGGAAATTTTGATCCTTACAACCTTGTCCTCCCCTATATATTTTATATATGTGTAAGATGTGTTTGGACAGTTTAAGAGACATTTTAGATCCGGATCATATATGTGCATGCGATGAGTATATATAAGGCCCGATTTTCGAAAGTCAGACTTTAGCTGGCTATTTAAAAATATTCTAAAGATCTTGGAATAAGTGATTATCAGTTTAGCGCAAACGGAGCGGTAGAATCGCCGGTAATATTGACTAGCATAATGTAGAGACCCACTTGAAGTTTTTCGATGAATGTATTAAATACGTTCCACTTCTATATATACACGTACTAAATCGATTTTTTTTAGGAAAATATTTTCGCGCTGTCACAGACCGGTTTAGAACCTGATCCCTGGAAAGCCAAGGAGCTTCCTCTAAGCTGATGTCCAATTGAGGAAAACGGAGGTTCTACCGACCAAATATTTACGTGGTAGCCTTCACAGAAAAGCATCAAGGTTGGTAACCTTCCGATGTGTTTGGTCCTTTTTTGGACGGTGTCGTGGAAGAAGACTACCTTCCTATGACCGCTCTATGATGCCTACTGATACCAAACTGTCTCTTCCGTCTAATTGCGCTACAATTATGTGTGCCTCCTTGTATTCCAGATGAGATCCTTGTGTTAGTGGAAGATAGAGCGGAGCGAGGAAAGACACGTGGAGCGACTTTCAGACTGTCTAGAAGAGCGACTTACGACCAAAGCCCAGTGGGATTTGGGCAGATGTTTGCACCCAGCATTCTCTACTGGGTCATCTTAAAACCCAAATACACGGGACTATGTGATTGGCGGAAACTAATTACCTTCCAAGACTATCATCACGAATACGGCCGCTTACGAATACATGGAACTAAATCAAGTCTTTTACTGCTTATTGATCTTTTGTTATACAACGGGTGCGTTTTTAATTAAACCGGCGAATTCCGAAATAACTACGGCAGCTGTGTTATCCAACTTCAAAATAGCTGTGTCTGTTGTGTTCGAATGCTGTGATAAACATCTTTCGCCCATGCATGAGTGTTTGTTGCATGGAGCGTCACTTCAGAGATTTATTGTTGACGTATTTGCGTTGTCTATATTGAAAACAATAATCTGTGGACAGCTGACACGTACGAATGAGCCAACCAATTTAATTACCGGCAGATAACTTCAATACTTCGATAAAACGCGATTTCAGCACGCGCGTCTGCCAGCGCCTTTTTCTAATATACGATACAATAAACTTAAATACTTCATCAGTTTATTTCGATTTTCCCAAAAAACAAAAGACTATACCAGTCAGGCCTGTCTCCTCCCTTTATTGCCAGGGAACAGGGTTACTGTTTTGGCAGATTACCCTTTCTCGATGAGGCTCTCCTTGAGGTTGTGAAGCCAGCCCAGCCGCGTTCTGCACTCACCCTCATCGAAGTGGCGAGCTGTGATGAGCGATGGTAGGAAGGCGAGAGGGACTTCACACAGCGTCGTAACAGCCGATCGGCAGCGCAGCAGATGACGACGGCTGAGGTAGTCAGCTCGCCTTGATGTTTGGTCCGGGCGCAGGCCCCTCCGCTAGATTAAAACAAAAACTTCCGAGTTATACTGCTGTTTTAGAGGCATCAAATAATGTGCTGTTTGATCATTGTTACTGTTCGATATACGGAACTTGATCTCGTCGCTGCCGGCACGTAAATAGCATAGCGTGAAACGTTACGACATGCCCCACTGAGGTGCAGCACACGCGAAACCACCGGCACGTAGGACCATCACTAGGACCTAGCGCCGCCAATTACGTAGATAGACGGAACCAAGACACGCTTATGGATAGGATAAGAATCTTAAGCAAATGCATTTTAAGTGATCCAACAAACAGAGCCAGCTATAAAAAGGGTAGGACGCCAGTTACGTTGGTGTTTCGAGATTATCATTTATCCACAAGTCGAAGGGCTTTCGGTGGCGCTTCGGGCGAATAATGCGCAGGCTGTCTCACTTCCTCCTCTCCCGCCGTCTTCCCTCTCTCTAACGATCTTTCTCACTCTCTCTGGTCTCGTCAAATCTAGAGAACAGTCAGAATGCTGGCAATATCTACCGTCTTGACTTGATCCTGACTAATGACACCCACTCATCTGTTTACATGCATAGGTGCGCAAGTTAGTAGAAGAAGCATGCTACGCCTGGCAGTTAACGTACCTCAAACAACTTGTGGCTAGCGACGCGTTGTAGTCAGGATGGTTTCCTATGAGCGGCCAGCGCCGCTAGCATTCGGTGAATGTCAGCCGGCGAGTGACGGTCGGATCGACCTATCACGACGGCGGCGGCGGCGGCGGCGGTGACGGCGACGAGGGTCTCACGTCGTAAGCCGTTACGGGGCTGCCTGTTTGTTGCTACGATTGACCGAGTTACTGACATAGTGGAGCGGACGCGTTCTTGTTCTCGAATCGAGTTGCATCTAGCCGTTACTGCTGTGGCGGTTCGGCCGGCGCAAATGCTGCTTTCTACAAGCATCACCAATGGCGGTTGGCGATTAGCGGCTGACATCGTTTGAACAAGAAAGCACGAAAAACAGAAGGATCGAAGGGAGGTCGCAGCCATCGGTTCCTTTGTCACTGCGACTCAACAACGTAAGATGGCGGAAACCAGACACATCGAATCGACTTAGAACATCAAATAGCTATCAGACCGCCAACAGTTCGGAGCAATCGGCTGGATCGGTCAAGCCTGGCGATACGTTGGGTTTTTGCTGGAGCTGATGTCGCACGTTACGGTGTTTGCTCCAGTCGACTACGGGCCATTGGCGCCTCTTCTTAGTTGACGCGTTGATTCGTACCGGCATCGAACGCTTTACACAGAACGAACCAGTGGGAAGAGGGGCAGCAGCAGCAGCAGCAGCAGTAGTCATAGACAATGTGTATCGACCAGTGGCCAAACAAAGCGACAACTTGAGTGGTGGCGGCAACAGTATTTCACTGCGTACCCAGAGTTATTTGGCGATTGTCACACTTGGTTCTTTCGAAGATCTTCTCGTTCGTGCCGACAGTTTCCATGAAACGTCCGCAAACAAGATAAACAGCTGGAATAAATCACTAGTAAATTACTAGAGCTGTAGCTCGGCGCGTCCGCGATTGAATTGTTCGAACCTGTCGTTTAATTGTTGTTATGTCAATGTAAAGCCTTGATGTTATGGTAGAAAAAAGCGTGATTGTTGTAACGGGAAAAACAAGAGAATTAGTGAATGTGCTATAATAATGTGTTCGAGCATAGTCAATTTCGCCTTCAGTAATCAACCCAACGGCGTGTGAGAGCGATTTAGAACGTGGTTGCTGTGGCAAAAAAAGCCCCTTGCTCGTGTACTATCATCGAAAGCTATTGGAAGGATAGAATTGTGCTGAACGGTAGTGATCCATTTCCAGCTGGCGTCAAATCACCTATCGTTGGTCGAAGGCAAAGGTAACTATACGCGAACAGGGAACGGAATTCTGTGTGTGGAACATAAAGTACAGCCATATTGATTACGCTAGTTCACAAATGATCGAACACAAGTCAGTCGAACGTCAACGGCCTAGATGCTCCCTTCACACGGTCCAACATTTCATCTAAGGACTGACTTCTAGTAAAGAGTCACTTGTGAGCCGAAACTGATCTCGCATCTAAACGAGCCCCTTCGGATGTACAAACACAAGTGTTTGCTAGACATCAATAAAGGCTACCAAGCAAGAGAGGCCAGCGACATTTTGGTCAAATTGCAATAGTTTATTACTTCAGATGGATCGAGGAAGCTAGACTAAATAAGGGCGGACGTTAGCGTTTCGTAAAGCAGTAAACTAGTAGCTAGACACTGAGCAGAAATGCTATTTGCGGTTGGCTCCTAATAAGGACCGCTCTAACCTACAACTTCAGGAAACAGCGTTCGGTCAAAATGTTAACATTTCTCCCAACATGAACAGACCAGCGACGATTTGTTTTGTTACCGTTAAAAACTGATTACTATATTATTTACAAATAACATCTGACAATTATGTCTGCTGACAAACACGTTGGCGTATTTGTAAATTTTTTGGCCAGCTTAAGTCAACCGTGGAATTTATTGATAGTGTTTTTTATCGTGATTCTTGTTGTAAGCATTCAAAATAGAAGAAGAGGCCAGTAGAGCAGCTTTTTCAGCGCAGCGAGTAAGAGGTACTGTCAAACAACCGGCCGGGTCAACGTGAGGCACACGAAATGGAGGTCTATCTGCAGGGCATCGTTATTGCGCTGGTAATAGACGTTATGGGGTGTCAACAGAGCCGATCATCATCAAATGAAAATACATGGCCAATACACAGGAGCCCCAGTTCCAAAATCAAGACGAAGAACCCTTTTGACGATACGCTTCACTTAATTGCCGATTGAATGCAGTTTTAAATGACTGTTTCCCTTCGCTCCAACCTTTCACCGGATCCAGCGTTCGATTTTCCAGACACCGCTTAGACCAGACCCCGGTTTGCAATTTTTGCCCCCTAAATAGAAAAGATCACTACGAAGGAAATGATTTTTCAAGGGCAGAGCTGAAAGAAAATCTGTGGGCAATCAACTCAGATACTCATTATTCTATATTGTAGTCTCTCCGTACGAATAACTTGATTGTATTTACAGAGAATTCAAGCTTTACATCATAACATAAAGGGTAAGCTCTATTATTATTACTTGTTGCATAATAGGGCAGCAATTAAGTAGATTATCGCTTCGCTTTAAAAGATGCTATTACTTTCTCATACCGCTTTAAGTCTGCTGTACTTTGGGGGCAAAATGCACAGACCTTTGCGATCCGGGCCTCTGTCTATCGGCTCGAAAAGATGCCCCAAATCATTATGTCGTTCTAGATGGCGCTTCCCTTACCTGTGTGTCACACAGTCATGAGGTTGAACGTTTTCTCAGCGGCGTACCAAAATGGCAAGAGCACGATTATCCGTGATACACGTAGGATAGACAATTGGATGTATCGGACTGACCCGCCTCTAGCAACTCACGATTCGACGGGTTATGGCGCGAACAACGCCGACCGATGATGATGCTGCTGCTGCTGTCTCCCAAGCTATAGGGTACGCTCCGTAGCTTCAGTTCAGAGTTGCCCTTTTCAGGATGGAATTTTCGTACGCTAGCGTACAGATCATGACGACCAGGTCTATGTTCAAAAATTCTTGTCGGCTGTGCACTGGCCAAGCAGGTTTTTAAAGATACCAAGGAAATATCAATGCTGTATTCATCTTTTGTAGGCTTAACTTATTTTGTAGCCAATGTTTAGCAATAGCGTATTTGCTTGCTAAGCGAGACGTCAACAGAGCGGCTCGAAGTATAAAAGCAAACTTTGACAAGCTTCGTTTCGAGTTAAAGGGATTAACATCTGGGGCAGTAAATTATATAAGAAACAAATCACTGGACAATTTTGATATATGTACGTAACGTTAGCGCGAAAAAGAAAAATTCGTATGCGCTTCCTTCAGTTAGACTTTCGGCACCTTAGACCTTGGACTTTATGAAGCATTGCTATTTAACACGCTTCACTTACCGAAGATCCATTCATGTGAAGTTCGGTAAAGCCGCCGTGCTAAATGGCATCTTTATAAAAGGACAAAGCGCAATAGATTTGGGAGACTGTTTCTATCCGCTACATGTACGTGCATAGAAGAGCGTTTTAATTGACATCAGCGGATTGCTTTATTTTTTACTACCAGCGGCGTTGATATACGCTTGTTCATTGAACTAGTTAGGGAAATTGTGAGTAAGAAACAAAGTTTGTTTATATCTATGTAGGGATAATTGAATGAAGAACAAATAACAAGTTTGTGTTTAGATTGTCACGTACGTTAACCCGACAAAAATTCGCTTATGGCTAGTGTAACAATGCAGATAAAACTGCAAAACAAATACTGGCTATGTCGACAATTCGTCAGGGCATCCTACTGCCAAAATTCCAGAACGTTTGTAACAGAGTAACGTAAGGCGCAGATGTTGGCCGTAATGTAATTTCGCGTCAAACGTTCTGCCCACTGCCATAATTCCTGAAACATGCAGAGATAGGCTGTGCCAGATGATATGGTTATCGTCTGTACAGAACTAATGCACACAATTAGCTCCGGTATCTGGGTCACCGCTTTTATGTCGTTGATGCCTTAGTAGGAGATCTGTGGCTGCTTGCAGGCGTCACATATAAGTATGTAACGAATTTCTCCCTAGCTTAAGGGGTTCAGAGCTTTGGCCTGCACGCCTCATTGACAGAAGGTCAGTGTATGTGTATCATATGAGGAGCGGTTCATGTGAAGTGTGCCACGCCTACTTTAACGTAAAGTATGAAAAAAGCGACGAATGCAATGACGATACACCGAATGACACACAATCGGCGACCATCGGATAGAGACGTTCGATAACGCTTATCGCGGTAAAGGGTGCAATGGTATCATGGACGCGCATGGTCTCGGAACGCATCCACGGTAAAGGCAGATATGTTGCGATGTTTTTCTAGATATATTTCTGTTGGAGGAAGCTGTGGTGATACGTTCCCATCACAAATCAGAGCAAAATAGAGCGTGCATATGCTTCTTTCACATTTAAGCCTCACACACCTTACGAGATATAGATGAATAGATAAGACGGTGTTTAAGGTCCCCTTACGTGCATTTCTATTGAGACTCTCTAGAGAATATTTAGCAGCTATTTAAAATGTGGGTTAGAGTAAACGGTACAGGCACGCACTACACGATCGGTAGGAAGCGCAATACAAGCTTTAGAATAGGCTGAAAAACGGTATATTTTACTAGTCTGGGCTAAAGTTCGACGGTGTACTTGAAATGAATTGAAGAGCAGTTAGTAACGACATATTTATTTATTAGTAGAAAAAACAAATCGTTCATTATGGTGTGAATATGCTTAATTACTATATATTTATAGAGTGCCGTAGGGTAAAAAGAAGTGAAGGAATCTTTCGTTCCTGCCGTAACCAATTCGCGAAGAAATGTTCGGTAATAGCGTTCATCAATTTCATTGAACAGCGCGCTTTTACGTAGTCCGCAACGTCTATGGACGTCAATCGTATAGTCTAGATTGTAAATGCTACAAAAGTGCGTCTCATGGTCGTTTCTTCTGGCGGTTACAGCTTTATCGTTTCATAGATGCATCGTAAACACTGATATAATTTCACCGACTCACTCAGTATATCTACCCAAATGATTATATGGATTACATACTATAGGCTCCTCTCTCCTACTAATAGTGTGCTGTAAATAACCTAGATACCGCTAGGTCGATACGTTTTATATAACCGATACAGCCTTACGTTTTAAGCTGCCACCTAAGTTGCACCTCGGTTGATCCTGGAGACTGAGAGGACCATCCAAATTGATCCAAGTAAAAAAATACGCATCCACAAAATGGAGCAACAGCAGATATTTAGCTGGTAGCATTCGAATTCGCTTGGAACCTAGACGTCGGTTTGTGAACTAATCGGACCGTTGCCGCTGTGTCCAGTTATCGTATCGTGGCGCTACAAACATTAGGACAATAAAATTTTGGCCGAGCGTTTATGACCATTACATCTTAACTGAACAAGAAGAAATACATGCAAAACAAAATGTAACAGATCTTTTGTTTTTTTTTCTTCTTCTTCTTCTTCTTTCATTTCCAGAATATGACGGGGAAAACTGAGTCGCCACGGTGAGTCTTTTCTACGTTTCATATTTTCACTGCTAACAAACACGAGATGACAGCAACTATCCCGTATTTTTCTAACAAACATAATATATATACATATACAATAATTAGATAATTACTTGTGAATTAGAACATTTCATTGTACGCTGTCTTTTTACCATGCTTGTCGATGCTATTTGCCCCCTATTAAATCCGCCCACCGCCTTCCTGTAAAGATGCTCACAGTCTCTATTTTATTTTATTTCCTGTACGCCCCGCCAACACACAGACGTATCCAGGTGCGAAATATCTGCTGTTTAGGCGCGGGCTACGTTGGTGGTCCAACCTGTTCCGTTATTGCATTGAAGTGTCCCCACATTCGGGTTACCGTGGCAGATCCCAACGAGGCTCGCATTGCCCAATGGAACTCGGATAAGCTGCCCATCTATGAACCTGACCTCGATACTATCGTGGCGGGATGCCGCGGTCGGAATTTATTTTTCTCGACCGATCTAGCCCGCTGCATCCAAGAGGCTGATCTAATATTTATTTCTGTTAATACCCCAACAAAAACGTACGGATTCGGAAAGGTGAGATGATTTCAATAATAAAATGCCGTGTAAAGAATCGACTACTTGTATGTTTAAAAATTCCCTTTTACTACTACAGAAACTAAAAACTTTTTAGGGTAAAAACCATGTGACAAAATGAAACAGAATGTTTAGGTCAAGCATCGGCGATTTGTTCCTTATGACAACGATATACATTGGTTCTTGTCTGTTGAAATGCTACCATTCCCTGTTGCGCTTGTGCTGTGACCCATTGTTACCAAGTTGTTCATCCATTGCAGGGGAGAGCTGCAGATCTGCGCTTCGTCGAGAGTGCGGCTCGCGCCATAGCAGAGTACGCGAAGTCGTACAAAATTGTCGTAGAAAAGTCCACCGTTCCGGTGACTGCGGCAGAGAGCATTCTGAAGATACTTCGAGCAAATGGAAAAGATGGTATGACCGCTTTGCATGCTATTGTTTCATATTAGAAGTAAGTAGTATTAATTGCCTATCTTGAGTAAAACGTAACTTCAAAGCTGCCGCATTGACCACTGCTCATATCTGAACGCATCACTTATTTATATCTGTCTCTGTATGTTTTATGAAGGAGCCACGTTCCAGGTGTTGTCAAATCCCGAGTTCCTTGCCGAAGGCACTGCCGTTTCGGATTTGTTGAACCCAGATCGAATCCTCATCGGAGGAGAAAAGACCGCTGACGGACTCGCAGCTATCGAAAGCCTTTGCGATGTGTATCGCAATTGGGTAGCCGAAGAGAAGATCATTACTATGAATACTTGGTCTTCTGAGCTATCGAAACTAGCCGCCAATGCGTTACTTGCCCAAAGGTAATAAGTGTTTAAGGCCAATAAGTAAATCAACCAGCTGTTCGCTTAAAGCTGTGCTGCAAGCGAAGTAAAAAAAATATTCAAATTATACACAATTTAGTATTGTGAGAATCTAGGTTGATCTGTACAGTCGATCTCTTCTAATGACTAGTCATTGAACGACAGCCTGTTACCTTGAACAGTTAGCCGAACGTCTAACTTGATCTAAATTCACGTACATATAGAATCAGTTCGATCAATGCCATGAGCGCTATCTGTGAAGAAACCGGAGCCGACGTTCAAGAAGTATCTCATGCAATTGGGGCTGACTCTCGAATCGGCTCGAAATTTCTCCAAGCTTCGGTTGGCTTCGGGGGAAGCTGTTTTCAAAAAGATGTGCTTAACCTCGTATATATCAGCGAATGCCTCCACCTTCAGGAAGTGGCAAACTACTTCTACCAGGTGCGTCCAAATGAAAGCGGAGTAATCTATTTTCTAGCTTATATAGATAACTGAGCATTATGCAGTGAAGTAACGACCGGCCACCTTTATATTCGCAGATAATAGAAATCAATAACTTTCAACGGACCCGATTCGCGCGCCGTATCACGCGCGGAATGTTCGATACCGTGGCTGGCAAACACATCGCTATATTTGGTTTTTCATTTAAGAAAAATACGGCTGACACTCGGGAAAGTGCTGCAATTTATGTCTGTCAGCAACTGATCGAGGAGGGTGCACGGTTACGTATTTTCGATCCGAAGGTCAAGCACCAGCAGGTGATAAGTGATCTTAATGACGCAACTGAAAAAGAAGACACAGGTAACTTTATTGGCGTTCTGTAGATTAAAACAAAAGCGACTTTTATCATTGATCTGAGTCGCTAGCGGCAAACTGCTTCGGCGGAAAGTTAAGTAACGCTCATTTCCTAATTACCGCCAGTTGTCACAGGCCAGCCGCCTGTATGCCTCTCTCATCCTTTGTATGGCTGTAGTCGCTTTCTACAAAGCTCCTCAGCTGTTTCTGTGCAAGTCAGAGGTTGTCAGTGTGTCAGTAGAAATTATTTATAAACGTTAAAGGCATTACCATTTACTATGTTTGTTTAGCGTTCGCTCGTTCTATGAGTAAATTAGAGACTGGCCGCCACATGTGCAACCAAACGTATCTTTGCCTTCGCTCCGCTCTGAAATTGCTTTCAAACATTATTACGTATCGCTATTCGTTTAACTTACTACCTTTGTTTGTTGCTGTTTTCAGTTAGTAAACAGGTTGAAGTAGTTTCGTGTCCTTACGAGGCTGCGCAGGGTGCACACGCCATTGCAGTTTGTACCGAATGGGACATTTTTAAGGATCTCGATTATCAGCGTATATATTCGGAAATGATGAAACCGCCGTTCATCTTCGATGGACGACGTATCTTAGATGATGTCAAGCTGCGTGACATTGGATTTCACGTTGAAGTTATTGGACAGCGTGCTAACAGCAAATGTACCGGGCTGAGTAATGGGCACTAATAAGGTCAAAGTTCAGTAATGTATGGATCCGGTACGTGAAACGATGCTATTACTAAGCAAATATATGAACCTAAGGCAGAATAGTGTATGCGCGTATTTTTACAGTATTATTAAGAAATGTATTCGTCAAACTGAATAAATAACGGTGGACTTTGGATTGTGCAGTATCGAATTGACATGGACTTCGTTCCTTTTGTAATAAATGAAGTCAGAAACACCATAAATATATCAAATTGAACGTTAGTGGTAGAATAAGAGGAAGAATGGTTTATGTGAAGGAGCAAGAGAGGTAAGCTTATGTAGTAGAGGGGCTTTCAAAACGAGAAAAAGAAACTACAGCACGTATATTTCAGCAAAAGGATGCAATATAAACATTCTCATAATACAAGAGAATAAGATCGCACGAAATCTTCAAGGACCAGTCTTATATAAACATATATATTTATTATACCATACCAAGATAAAATGTGAACATGACGCTTAATAAAGACAAACGAAATGTATTGGTTGCACGACTCGGTTTATGGTGGTGGAAAAACATGTATTCTGCATAGGGGACATCGTAGTAAGAACAGTTTATTAAAGGAAGCCCTATGTTGGTTGATTTGATTGGTTGACGTATTTCTCGGCAAAACTTAGGGACACGTGATACGGTGCAAGGCCGAAATCGAGCGGGGACAAACTTTATTTTGCAATAGATACGTCTGAAGTAATGCTGGACGTAAGCAATAGCAGGTGTGAAGCTCAACGCATTTAATCATCTTTGTTTAAAACTGACAGAATATTGATATATACCCCTATAGTAACCTTAGTCATATGGCACGGTCATACGGCCGCCAACGAGCAGCAGATTGCGAACGTCGTATTTTCTCTACTGAAAAAACGTTCCGCCATAATCTCCGCAGCAAGCAGCGGCTAGATAGGGATAAGTTACTGTGACGAGAGTCGTGATATTCACCCTCGTCAAGCGCAAGTGCATTGTAAGTATATCTACCGAAGTCAGGTGGAAATCGAATTGACTCAACTTTGTATGTATCATGATAAAAGACTAATTAAAATTAATTAGGTTTAAGTAGTTTGACGAGGTTTTTCAATTACTGCAATGAGGCTTTCCGCTTCACTCCGAGCCCTTCATCTCCTCGCTGAATCAAATGCAGCATCCGAAATCCTTAGCATAGACGTGAAGCACTGAAAGATGTTCATATCCACGAACCCTGTGCTTTGCTCGTGTTAAGCTTTTACATTAGGTATCAGCTCATAGTAAATCTGGAAGACAACTAATCCTGGACGATGTGCTTTATTTACTGTTCGGTGAGATAACACAATATCATATTATAGATTTGATATTACGTTGAAAGCTGCCACCGCTTCCATTCGTCATAATTCTCAAGGTTTAAGACCTATCAGTAATGAATGAGAAATGCAAAATTTAGCCAATCAATCGTGCCCAAATCCGACCAACTGATGCGGTAGTGACTACGTGGCACAAAGAAGGCAGCGTCAAAACAATATAAAATACGCTCAGATGTCGCTAAGCGGTACCGTATATACTATCGATATCAATCTTAGTGAAAAACAAGCCAACGCAATAGATACTTTTTTTTTTATCAAACTCTATTGCTTTTTGTTATTACATCGATAGATATATAGCATACAGGTGTGACCTTGTCAATAGGCCTTTACCAACGTAACCTTTTTTTGATGGGCCATCGAAGTTGGTCTTCTTCTATTGATGTGTCTAAAAAACTCTTTAGACCAACTACATATTTATAATTTTATTTTAAAAAATTCATTTCTCTTAATGCTAAAAAAATTCTATCGAAGTAGACGTTCTTTCCTACGAAAGATCCTAAATTTCTATAGCTGCATATATATATAATGTTTATGACAACTTGCTAACTTATCATTTATATCATAGTAAAACTTATATATTATTATGTGTGAGTTCTCTAACTTTTACTTTCTCTTTAAATTTATATCATCTCTCTATGGTCTGTATAGTGTATATTTTACATTTCATCAGTTTTTGTAACTATCTCTTATCATTTCATTAAATTTTATTTATAATCGGCATTGTTCAGTCCTAGAAGCACCAATTCTGAACTAGCCTGCCTTCACATTGGGCTTTTGCAACGGTTTTTTCGATAAGCTTGTTTGTTGTTCAGGAACGTAATTGAGAAGGAGCCGCTTTTAGCCCAGGTAACTTAACTGCTATAGCCAAACTGATCCATCATTAAGTAAGTGTTTTGTTGCGGCAGACGAAAATTATCTTTTCGTCGCTGTTCTAAAAAGGCTACGAAAGTCTACCTATCTCTGTCGTTGCGTTCACATTACCGATAAAACGCCAGTAGCGAACTGATCGATTATGCTCATATATATATA